AATTGTTAATGAAAAAAGAGAAAAATATACATCTGCAAATGATAGTGGAGTGGCTAATAAAAGACGGCTCATTGTATTTAGAAGCTACACTATTGGATCCCAAAAACCGAATTTAAATTTGATAAAAGTTCGTATATAAAAAGAGATTTAAGCAAGCTGAATGCAGGTAAATATAGGTACCTTAAAAAAAAATTAATCCTTAGATTTAAGAACTCAACCCATCCAGATGGACCTAATCTCAACCCTTATGGCCTGTTTGGATTGAGTGTTGAGGAGTGTTAGTAATGTAAGTGTTAGTAAGTGTTGATGCTAACACTTGTTTGGGAGAAAATCCAGAGGTGTTAAGAAGTGTTAGTAATGGTTAGGAAGTGTTAATAATAACCTTCCCAACACCTCAATTTCCCATTTTTTTAACACCCCGATTTGGAGTGTTTTGAGGTGTTGGACAATTATTACCCTTCTCATTTACCTGAAAACATAAAATGCTTCGACATTTCACTTCGAATATCTTTCCAACGAGTCTGATGGTCTGCTTTTTTCATCTCTTCTCTTTACTCGTTTCTTTTGCCTCAAGGTAAAATTATTAACACTTCCATTATTAACACTTCATTCATTTGACTCTCCCAAACAAGATAAAATTATGTCTAACACTTACACTTCTCTTCCCTTCCGGGCCCTTACTAACACTTACTAACACTTTCATTACTAACACTTCCAAACACTCCATCCAAACAGGCCCTTAGATTTAAGAAAAGCAGTTGTGGTCATCCTAGGGTTATTAAACGTATGCACTCCATTTTGTGCATTTTTAGTTTTAGTTATTAAAGTAAGTACCCATCTATAGGCGGATGCTTACTGAAACCAACTCCGCACACAGATGATAACTGATTATTTTCAATATTTTCAGTGTGGCAAAAGCTTGAAGAAGAAAACCAGGAATTCTTCAGGGCATACCGGTTGAGGTTAATAGTGAAGGATCAAATATTGAGATTCAATGAGTTGCTTGAGAGGCAAGCTAAGCTAATAAGTCAGATATGTCCAGCTGGAGTGAGTTCGATTCCCCTGGTTAGCGGTGGATCTCAAATTCGTCAATGTAAGGACCCTGTTTTGTGTTTTAGAGCTTTTTAGTTACCGGAATTCAGTGGAGAGGGCTGGGAGAATTTATTTATGTTTTACTAATTTTGTCTATGATAGTCTAGATCTAAAAATAACTACTCTTCCACCCCCCCCCCCCCAAAAAAAAAAGTCATGTTTGCATACTGTATAACTTTCTGTTTTTGTCACAACTTACAACTCAATCAAGGTACAAACATTTACATGATTGTTTAGAGTAATTTATCAAAACCGCTATCCGCTTAGATTTGCATGACCTTTCTTTTCAAAGAAAGTTGACCTTAAAAGGACTTTTAATTTTAGTTAAAACGGACTAGTTTTTTTTTAGGATGGAGGGATTTTTTTTGGCATCATTTACCAATTTTATTAAAGAAGATGAAGAGCGGGATACAGAGAGGAGGATGAAAACCTCATCTCTTAAAGAAACACAAAAGAATCTAACATGTAACTCTTTATGTTTCATGTTTTCATGAAACGTCGTTTTTTCATGTGAACAGTGCATGATAACTCTACCTGCACAACAACTGATAACATTGGACCGGTCATGAAGGCTGACACCATGAACCAAAATATGAATGCCAGTTTACTTAATGTATACTCGAATAGCGTGTCCTCCCTACAAACTCGTATGGAAACTGCCCTTGATATGTCCACTCATCATCCACGGAGGATTAATGTCTTACCAAGCACCCTGCTGGCTCAGACTGCTAGTGGGGGGTTGATGCATGGGGGACAACTCATCAAATCAGAAGCAGCTGCTGCTCCTGCTTATCGTCATCCTGCCAATCCTCATTTTATGTTTGGTAGTGACAACAATGTTATGGAAAGCCGTCCTGCCATCACCGATGCGTCCATTTCATCCTTCAGTAGTGTGGAGTCTAATTCACAGAACCTGAATGAGACTGTCTTGGATGCCGCTGATACATCCTTTGGGTTCTTGGGGCAGATTCCCCGCAACTTCAGTTTGTCTGATTTGACAGCTGATTTTGCTAACAGTTCAGGTCTCTCTCTCTCCCTCTCATTTGTCTCACACACACACACACACACCAGCAAATAGTTTCATATTTTAGCTAGCTGTTGATGCTATCCTTGAATTTATGTTTTTTAAGAAGATATTTTAGAGACATATTCGAGATCGCCTTTCCTAGCTTCAGACACAGATAGCTTCCTGGATCCTCATTGTATGAGAGAGCACCGAGGTAAAGTGGTAAACATAGTGAATTATTGAATACATTTACATCACGTTTAAAAAACTCTGGCAGTTGTTGTTAAAGATCTCTAAAGATGTGTGCTAAGACTTAATTATATCGTGAAATACTAGTTACTTTTTCATATTTTTCTTGCTCTTTTTATCATTTCTCATTTAGTATATGTAAAAATTCCAGGCCCATTTGCTCCGTAGATACAACCCCTGGAGGAGTGTCGTGTAAATAAGGAATGGGACATGCGAAGCTTTGAGAATGTGTAGGCTGGGTTGATTTATTGGTCGGTGTAACTCTTGTGGATAAGAAATATTTAGTCATTCTAAGGAATGGGTGGGTATATGTGCATTTGTTTTGTGCAAATAGTTTTATTACAGGAAAATAATCAGTATGCTTTTATGTGAATGAATGGCGGTGCTGATAATATGATGGAATTGTGAAACGTTCATACGACCTGCAGCTTTTTAGTTTTTACCACAAGCAGAAATAGTGCTAAATTTATAGCTAAATTGTGACCGTTTTGGCGTTGCCATGATGGTTTTAATACATTCATATGGGTGGACAAGTCGCTCCTCTAGGGATGGACTGGGACGGGTTGGCCCTCCCCGCCCGGTACTGTTTAGGCTTGGCCCGGGGCCCGAACCGGTGGTTATAAGGGATGGGCTTCGGGCTTGACCTTTTGGGACCGGGCCCAATTGCACTATATTAAAAAAATTAAAAAAATGGGTGGTACTGACCTGGTCCCGACCTTGCCTGGTACTATTTGGGCCCGGACCAGGCCTAGTCAGAAGCATGCCTTGGCCGGTATCGGGCCTGAATTCCTTAGTCCCTAAGTCTGCTTGCTCTTGGGCCCGGGGCTGACCCGGCCCAGTCCATACCTATGCTCCAGTTATTGTGCAGTTTTTACATCGTTATTGAACAAACTTCCCAGTCCCAGAGTGAATGTGTCAACTATGGGTGGACATGGTCTCGGACTCTCGGTTCCAGTCTCGTTTGAGCTTGGTTCTGGTCCTCGTTAGGGGTGTTAACGAGCCGAGCCCGAACACCTAAAGCTCGAGTTCGGCTCGATAAGGAATTAATGGTGTTCGGGTTCGAGCTCGAAGCTCGGCGAGCTTTACATATGAGGCTCGTGTTCGGCTCGATAGGCGTTCGATGTTCGAATCGAGCGCTCGTTAAGCTCGATAAATATGGTCGATTTTAAAATTTTAGGTGATGCTCGTTAATAGGCTCGTGCTCGAATGATTCGACAAGTATTCGGTTCGTTAATAAACATATTTAAATGCTTAAAATCACACTAATTAGGGGGTGTTTGGATCTGATTCTCAAAACTGATTCTTCTCCTTCAGGGAGCAGAATCAGAAGCTGGAGTGTTTGGGTGAAATTCCAGAAGCACTTCTGGAGCTCTAATTTACTCTCAGAATCAGTTTTTTTAGAAGCTGGGGGGTACCAGCTTCTGAAAACTGATTCTGATTCTGCTTCTGCTTTTAAAAAAGAAGCAGAAGCAGAATCAGTTCCAAACACCCCCTTATATTTAAATTTTTATTATATATAAATTATATTTATAATTTCAGGGTGTTTGATAGGCTCGAGTTCGAACCGAGTCTAATACTACTATGTTCGAGCTCGGCTCGATTAATATTTTGAACTTAAAACTCAGCTCGGGTTCGAGTTCGAAAGCTCGTTAAGCTCGGCTCGTTAGGTTCGAAACCGAGCTCGAACTCGAATAGTTCGATAAAAGCTCGGTTCGTTAACAGTCCTAGTCCTCGTCATTGGGTGGGGTGAGGGATGGGGGTTATTCCATTAAAATATGCCTACACGAAGCAAATGATTTTGATCTGGAAGAGGAAAATTTGGCTGGTCTCCAAATGCATACACAACAATAGTCAATAGATGCCTAAAGCTCTATGTCCACTTTGAAGTGATCATGAAAAAACCTTTTTATCTTTCTAACAATGTAGGGTTATAGACCAATCAACTAAGATAACAACCCTGAAAAATAGAAGTACATACCAAATCACCTCCTTCAAATTGTGTAAAGCCAGAAATTCCTCCAATTGCTTTTCTTGTGCATCAAACACCACAATGTGGCTAGGTAAAGACCAACCTTTTGCAAACCTACTAGGTCCAACAAGAACCGAGCATACTCGTCTACCACTCCTTTCACTTCACTGTTGCAGCATTCCCCATAAAAAAACAATCACATTCTATTTTACATTGTATAAACACATATAGACATAGAAAGAAGAAGAAGTAGGCAGTTGATACCTCGGTGCACAATCCAAAAAGCGCATAGGAATGTTACGGTGAAGGGTTGAGTAGTAAGGTGTCACATGACAAGGTGTCAAGAAAAGGATGTTTGTTACGTTTCCACTAGCTGCTTCGACAGAGAGATAGTTCATGGCGTCCTCACTTCCTGTCTGAGAAGCATATATTACAAGTAAGTAGTAAATTAAAATTGTATAAGGTTCTTTTAAACCTTTATTGAAAATTTGCATATCCAATGCTCAAATCTTATGATTGTCCCAATAAAATACACATTTCGAAAAAAGAAGCTGAATTATATTTAATTTAACACTTTTTTATGAATATATGTGTTTCAAACAAGTTAAGCTTTGCTAAAATGCTAATGTAGCTTAAGAAACAAATTGTTTTTTAAAACTAAATTTCAAAGTTATAATATATCTTGCTGAAACACTGTTCAGTTTTTGGGATGGGGTGACATAGTATAAAGAATCAGATACCTACGTGATGGACCAAACTCATATATAAAGCCATGGGAATATTTGTGATTAGTAGAATGAACACGCAGAGATGCTTTTTTGATAACCCTATGTAATTGGTCCTTAAAATACTAGGAATTCCTAGTCTTGTCAGTGAGTACCCAGAGAATATTAAAGCGATAGGAAGCATGGGGGGACAATTGTGTCACTTCACACTAATTAGAGAACATCAGAATGTTTAACGTCAAAACATATAGTCATCAACAAAGAATAACTAAACTTGGCAAAAGGTGCAAACATGCCCTCAGTGTCTACCTCCAGCTAAAGGTTCCTTTAGCATTTTACATTTTTCAGGTTGCTTAATGTTTTCTTCTAGGTTTATAGTGACCCTTGTTTACCTTAAACACTATTAAACTAAAAGAAAACTGCAAAAACCACCAAAATTTAATTAATTTTTTAGTGTAAAATGACAAAAGTCACAATTAAAATTATTTTGCACTTAGAGATGCATGTTACGGGTGTATTTGCACCTTTAAATGGCCAATCTTCACCCAACATTCTACATTGCATTTTATATTACAAATTTAATTAATGGCACCAACCCCAACTAGTTTGATCAAGGTGATGAAAATGAAAATGATGACAACGCACATAAAAATTGCACCTAAAGTGAAGGACATAAAGGCAGATTTGCACATTTTTCCTAAAAACTTCCAAGTACCCCTCTTTGTGACTTAACAATTTATAACCCCCCCCCCCCCCCCCCCCCCAATACCCGCGCAATGCGACCAGTTTCCATTGTTTAGCCATGATAGCTCCGACTAAAGAAAATGGTAGGAATGTGAAGGCCATCACCATGAATCCATGAGTGAGGTACCAGTGCCATACATGAGTCCATAATAGTCGCCTCCGAAAGAGAGGAAATTAAACATCGGAAAATTAAGAGGAACGATCACCCAAGTCCCATACATCCACCGATTAAACAGAAGTGTGAGTCTAAGTATCAATGTCTTGATTCCATATGTTTATTATCGAAGTAGGTAAGTAGTTTTTTTATAGGTCTACTTTGGTAGGTAATAAAATACCATACTGTTAAAAATAGGAAATGCATAAAGGTATCATGAAAGCCTAATTATAATTTTCAAGATGATAACTAAGGCATTATTCTCAGGATCCATTTCAATAGTTATTTAACTATAAAGCGTAGATCAAGCGTCTATAGCTTCATTTGGTTGCCCAATATGACCAATTCAGTTTATCCGCAGTCCACAGAACAAATAGAATAAGCAGCTTTTGACTTGCTTGTTTGGGTAAAACTGTAAAATGGGCGGAACCAAAAACCTTTATTTTAAAAACTCAACATATTCATCAAATTTCAGCTAATAAACATTAATAAATAGACTCTACTTGCAATAGGTTTGACAAGAAGAACCAAGTTTTCTTATAGCATATACGGATCAAATTATCCATTGAGTGTAACATTTACAAAAGGTTGAAATTGATTCTAACCCTTATTTTTATGGAAAATATTTAAGGAAATCATTATATGGCATCTTAGGACATGTTCTTTCCATGACTCCATCTGAATAAATGTGTTGTGATGATTAGACTTGGCTGGGGTCACATACTAAGGCACACATCTTACATGTTATTATACACATGTAACGTGTTACATCAAGTGAAGTTACATCATTCACAAGCACTTGAACAATGTGCATTGGACTTAGTTGAAGTCACATACTAAGGCACACGAGTTACATAACTATTAAGTGAAGTTACATCATTCACAAGCAGTTGGACATTGTATTGTGGACTTGGTTGCAGTCACATACTAAGGCATACAAGTGTTCAAGTGTTATGACAATGTGGACAAATTGCCCAATTTAGCTGAACGCGACTATTTTGCTGATTTTTTTGGGGTTTCCTTATTTCAGATTTTAATTTTTGTTATTTTCAGTTGTTTGGCTTCTTTTGAGAGATTTTAATCTAGCCCTGCTCTCGTTCTTGTATGTTTTTTCCCTTATTCTAATAAAAATCTGATAAATGTTCCCTGACATTTACGCCATTGATTTTTGTGGTTTGCCTACCGGGTTAAAAAAAACTAAGGCATACAAGTTTACATACTTCATAATAGATATAAGTCAGGCAAATACTTGGAAAATCTATTTTCCACCCTCAAAAGTTCCAATAAACACTTGGACCGTTTATTTTTAACACTATGTTTCCAAATATATTACTCGATATAACAAACATTTTACATAAATTCCTATTGTGCATTACATGCATACCAAACATTTTACATAATTCCTATTGTCCAACGATATTACCAAACCATTAATATGGGTTGTGGCCATTGGACAACATCCAACGCCAACACTTCCAACGCCTATTGTTAGTCATCTTGGCAGATGAGCAGTTGAAATAGCACATTACATTGTTAATTATTGCCTTATTGGTAAGAATGTAAGGTTATAAACTTATAATGAGTAAGTAAACCATTAAATTGACCGTTGAAGGATTCACATAAGATCTAGAGACATGTCCAAAAGAAGCACATGTCCCATTTAATGAATATGGATAAAGAAAAACACAATGTCACATTTGCATATAAACATAAATATGCATTAAGCACATGTAAAAAAGAAAATAACATGTTTCCAGCCCCTCAAGTTCATCAATATTTTCTTCAACTAATCAACAAAGTTTGGTTTTGCATCTTCAACCAATCTTGAGAACAAACAAAGCTTCCATTGTTTTATGAGTCAATGAGCTTCTAAAATAATCTAAAACCGGGCCACTGATACTAAAAGTGATTCAGAAGCAACTGTGGAGACGAGAACATCAAGAATATCTCTAGCCATTTTTTTAGAGTATAGGGAATCTCTGACTGTTTAATTTCCACCATCTTAATATGTTAAACTCTTTATCTTACTAAAGAATAGCCTCACTCAAATAAATTTCCAACTCATTTTTTTTTCAAGCCCAACTACCCACTCTGTACTTTCTGTGTTTTAGTTGTGCTTTGAATTTGGAGACTGGTCGTGCAGACTCAACCTCACAGATCACTAAACCAGTAGGAATTAGGCTTTATTCAGAGCTTCCACCAACAGTATATGTGCAATAACTCACTTAGGGCATGTTTGATACTTTCAAAACAAATCTCACCCTTTTTTGAATATACAGCGCATTCAATTGAAATGGCAAGTATTCAAACTTGTCCCTAGGGTCTAGAACATTTGAAAAAAATATGAGAAGGTTCATCTTTTCAGAATCTCCCCAGTACTTATCCAATTTGGATCATAGTATTTCTCATGCTACTTTTAGAAGGTTCGTCTGACATCACCAAGTCTTCAAGGACCAGAAACAGATCAGGCACTTCTGTGAAGAAAATATTAGAAGTAACATAGAGAGAGCATGGAATCCTGAATGTCATATCATAAAGTTTTTGTAGAATTATCACCAAAGACTCACAAGAAATCTCATCCACAACATCTGGAATAATATCAACACCTAAATCAATTGCATAACTGGTTGCATTTTGCTCACACGCTTCAAATACTTTTTCATTAGGTAAAGCTTATTTCAACATTAAGTACGTGGAATTCCACTTAGTTGGAACATCAAGGTATAATCCAGATTTAGCTTCCATCCCAATTAAGTCGGATATATCCTTAAACTTTTGAAGCTTAGTAGGAGAATTACTAACACACTTAAGTTCTTCCCTAACCTTGGACAAGGAGGAGTCAGCTTGCTTTAAACCAGCTTGAATCGTCAAGTTAAGAATGTGGGCAATATATCTCATGTGAACATACTGGGCTTTAACAGAAAAGGCACCCCCCAAGTTTTAAGTTTTTTCTTGAAGAATCCTACAGTTGTATCATTACTGCTTACATTATAAATATTCACAAGAAATATTCACATGTGCATACTCACCTTTCACAATTCAGAACAAGGCTGAAACTCCATCATCATTCACGTATGCATGTTGAAACATAAGGCATACAACTTTCAGAATTCAGAACAAGCATGAGGCTCCAACATCATTCACATATGCATATCGAAACACAATACATACAACTTTGGCACATTTACAATACCCATAGTTCACGTTTCAAATATGCACAGTTTAATACTCATAATTTAGAACAAGGTTAAGCTCAAGGCTCCATGTATCCATCATCATTTAGATGTACAATACTTAGTCAGTCAGGATTCATATTTCACCACAACTTAGTCACAATAACATAATATCAACCATTATCATAGATTCATAGTCACTCGTCAAAAGTATTAAACATCAATTACACCATCAACATCATAATACTATCAATTTATCAAATATTCAAATACAATCATCATCATCATCATCATGATCATCATCGTCATCTATTCATCTCGATCATTTGCTTCCACAAATCCATAATAGAATTATATCATTTATATGAATCAATTAAATCTTACATTTAAAACACATAACAAATTCACAACAAACCGTAGGTATAAATACCCCAGAGACGATTAGATAGACTACGATTAGGAGTTAGGGTTAAGAACTTCCACTAAATAGGGGTTCAGACTTTAAGAATGAGTTCGAGTGAAGATGTCGGCCTATGGGAGTTTCAAAGTGTGAGAGCTTCATAGTTCAGAACATCAAATTAACCAAAACACCAAAAATGATGGTTAGAACTGTGATTGAAGGCGGAAATCATGGACCGAGAGGAGAGAGTAAGGTCTGAAGATGGAAGAGAGAGAACATAGCGAAGAGGCGGACAGGGTTAGGCCAATTAGTGGTGGTATAACTACGTATTATATAAAATGCTAAACGACATCATTTTAGGATTTTGGATTTTTCGGGCGGATCAGATTCGGGACTTATAAAGGGAAAGTTCCTGAAATAGGACTAAAACAGTTTGAAAATTCCAAAATAGGACTGCCATGTTTTTTATTCCCAAAATAGGAGTAATTACTGCCAAGTTTGGAAAATACATACTGCCATGTTTGAAGTCTGGTACTGCCTAAACATGACAGTAATTAGTCCTATTTTGGGAATAAAAACATGACAGTCCTATTTTGGAATTTTCGAACCTTTTTAATCCTATTTCGGGTAATATTTTCATTTATAAACCCTACCCGCCACCCGGTACACACCCATAATTGTCCAATTTTTCGGATATAAGTCGTCGGTTCAGATATCCATATTCAATCGGATATTATCCGAAAAAATGGTTTTGTCGGATCGGATTAGATTTTGCTCAGCCCTAGTGACTTAACGAATAACAATGAGCGGTTTTGCTCTAACCATACTTTCCATGTTCTGAGCCACCTTGCTATTGAGTTGGGGTTAGTTTTAATTAATGTATTTTTTAAAGTAACCTAACTAATGTACCATGTATGTGTTTGTGTGCGTACACTTATAATACATATATAAATATATACTACGTAATTATTTATATAATAATAATAATAATAATAATAATAATAATATAATTCCGGTCTAACCGGTCCAGAACGGAATATTATGTGTTTTGGACTGGACCGGAATTGGAATCGGTAAAGCCCTTGGACCGAAGACTGGACCAGTATTTATCCGTCCCGGTTCCGATCGGGATCGAACGGTCTGGTTTGGCAATTTATAAGTCGCCATTCAAATTGACAATTTATAAGGATGTTAAGTAATCTGACTCATACTAGACCAGATCAAAACAGAACAAGACCTAGTTATAAAAATACAAAAATAAGGACTATATTGTTTTCAGTTCTCCCTCTTACTAGTCCCGTCATCTCCCGTCATTATAAGCAAAGCCCTGCTCCAAAACCCCGAGATTTATCTTCGTCTCACCTACCTGTGATTTGGGTGTTTGGCAGTGACCATGGCAAGCAGGTCGTGTTTGGTTGGAACGGAAGTTCCCGTTATCGGCAGTGACGCCATCAATTGGATTCAGCTATCTGTTCCTTCCTCCACTTCTACTCAGTCCGGTGCCTCAGCCGTGCTGCCGGATCACCTCAGCAGAGACGCCGCCTCATACGCCGTGTTAGGGAACCCTTCCATCTACATAATTTGGTATGACTTTCATTGTTTATATGCATTTGCATAAACTCACATGTGTATATATTTTATATACATATGCGAATTAGTGTAGAATTTTTCCATCATTTTTAATGGAGCTATGGCTCACTATTTTTTTTGCTTGAGAATATGGAATAAAGAAAAATGACTCACTAAACTGTAAACTGTTCAAAAAATCAGTTTATGCAATTTTTGAAGCTATTTCAAAGGGTCATCCGGAAACAATTTCTCTGTACTTTAATACATGGGTAAGGCTACTGCGTACATCCGACCCCCTTACCCCACTGTAGTAGGTGGGAGCCTTTGCTTGGGGTAGACGATGATGATGCGATTTACTGTAGAATGCTGTTCATATTATCCACTTGAGCAATTGAGCCTGTGCGGGACTGATTGAAATTGTACGCAGTTCAGCTTAACGATTTTATAATATCCTTCACACATTGTATTATTTGTTGGGAACTAATTGGACTTCGCCAGATTTGCGAGCTCAAGGTATTATACCCTCACCCACATACTCCCTCCGTGAAACTAAATGAAGTTTCAGGTTTGACTTAGGATATTTTATTTTGGACTGTTTTCTGTTCCAGACCAGACTTGAAAAAACCAGATCAAATCAGATTTAAAAGACTAGATCAGACCAGACTTGGACAATTATAAAATACACAAAGACCAGACATTTACCAGATAAGACGTTGACAGACCATACCAGACCAACAAATTTTAGTCCAAAAGAAAACATTCTTACACATTTAATTGAGATTAAGTTTTGCTTAGACTTTCCAAATATACCCTTCCTTAATGTCAAATAAAAAATGGCAAAAGTAAGGGTAGTTGTGACTTTTTGCTTAAAGGTAGTTTCCTTTTATAGAAATGGAAACTTCTTAGGACAACAAAAAGTGAGAATTTCTTTTCGGGACGAAGCTAGTATTCCCTAAAGCAAATGATCTTATATTATATGTGAAATGTACAAGAGGTTCATTTTTACAACTAGTGTTGAAAGTGAGAAAGTGAGTTTGGGGCAAGGTTGTTAAAATCGTATTTTTGAATCAAATCGGTAGATGTTTTTAAAAATCGAATCGTAAAATCGAATCGCAAATCGTAAGATTTTACCAAACATATTTTAATAATTATAAAATAAATAAATATTAAAATTAAGTTGCAAGTTAATGATATTATATCATTTCATTACATAAAACTATACCTAAAATGTCAAAAGCAAGATTTATAAACTGTTTTTATTATGTAAATGTATTGAATAATAACATTAAACATATGTAAAACATAAAAATAATTAAGTAACACAAGAATCCATTACTTTTATAAATAAACTATTCATATTATTATTATTGGAATTATGTATCAATTTGTAGTTGTTAATTTTAATAAATTTGAACCATTTTCACCAAAAACAACTTATTACGATTTTGCTACGATTTTATACGATTCTACACGATTTTGGGACGATTTTTTACGATTTTGTACGATTTTATGATTTTACGATTTTACCTGCGATTTGAATCGCTTTATTAATGTAGAATCGTAAAATCGTACGATTTTACGATTTAAATCGAGATTTTAACAACCTTGGTTTGGGGTGCCTATTTTCTTGCAAATTCGAAATCTAACGGTTAAAATTAATAGTTAATACCAATGTTCTAAAAGGCCGTTCTAAAAGGCGCTAGGCGCTAGTCGGGCGCCAGCCCAGCGCCTAGCTCCTAGGCGGCTAGACGGACGCCTAGTCTGGGACTAGTCGGAGACATAGAAATTGCATTTTTATCTAGATTTTTGCATAAATATGATAAGTAATACTCCGTATTGTTTTTGTGTGTGTATAAAATACATTTATACATATACATTAACAAACATGAATAATAGAGTTATCACATTTAATCATATGTAGTATAGGATAACTAATCACTTAACTTCATTATGTTATAAATATAAATAATGATAAAGTTTAGGTATATATACAAACATATGTAGTTTTATCTTAATTTACAATTTCATTTCTGTATATCCATAGCTAAAGTTAAAGTACGTATATCGCTTAGAAAATTAAAATTAAAAAGAAAAGCAATGCTCGGCCAAACCAATTAGTCGGAGTGCCTAGACGATAATCGGGGCGCCCGGCCACCGCCTAACACCTAGGCGGGGACTAGTCGGGTGCCTAGAACGATTTTTAGAACATAGGCTAATACTAATGAGGAAAAAACTTGGACCAATAAACTTGTTAAATGGCTAAAAATGAAATATGCCTCAGAATTCATGTCATTTTCCCATATATATAAATTAAATACACATATTATATTATATTATATTATATTATATTTTTTTATATTATATTATATTATATTACATTACATTACATTACATTACATTACATTACATTACATTACATTACATTACATTACATTACATTACATTACATTACATTACATTACACATATATATAAACACAACTATATATATATATATAATGTATGATTTGGATCAAATAAAAAAATCTTAACATGTAAAAAAGACTTAATCTCAGTCGTCCAAAAGGTCAATTTGGTGCACAATAAAGCTTATCTGATGCACTTTTCGAAAAGTGAATTAGATGAGGTTGATTTGGAAGTGCATTAGATAAGGGTGATTGTGCATCAGATTGACAGTTTGGACGATTGAAATTATTTTTATTTTACACGTTAATATGTCTTCTCATTTGAACTCAACCCTATATGTATGTGTATACATACATATATGTATACACGCACGCCCATATATATATGGTGCGATTCCAATAAAAAGAGTTATTCCTGTGAAAAGTGTGAACATAAGCATTTTTACTCATTTTGGCGCACTATTAGATGTTTGTGTTGCAGTATTATTTGGTACACAATAAACCTTATCTGATGCACTTTTTGAAAAAACTTTATCTGATGTACTTTTCGTAAAAACCTTATCTGATTCACTTTTCGAAAAGTGAATTAGACGAGGTTGATTCGGAAGTGCATCAATTAGATAAGGGAGATTGTGCATCAGATTGACAGTTTGGACAATTGAAATTATTTTTATTTTACATGTTAATATGTTTTCTCATTTGAACTCAACCCTATATGTATGTGTGTACATATATATATATATATATGTATACACACACGCCCATATATATGGTGCGATTCCAATAAAAAGAGTTATTCCTGTGAAAAGTGTGAACAGAAGCATTTTTACTCATTTTGGTGCACTATTAGATGTTTGTGTTGCACTTTTTCGCGATGGCAGAAAAGTTTGGTTTATTTACCAAATTGCCACCATGTTTTTGATCAAATCTAGTGCGTTAGATCTCAAATTTAATACACAAGATTGATTCTCTTTTTTTTTCATGGGGAGAACTCTTTTTATTCCATACAAGACCTATATATGTGTGTGTGTGTATATATGTTCTGCAATAGTAGATATTCTAAATTACGTATTTATGAACCTGCGTGTCTCTTGGTTTTTCCCTAATATTCTTTCTTCAAAGTCAAATGTTATTGACACTGATACTTGTATTGCAGGAGAATTAACAGGTCCAAGGCAAATGTTGTAGAGATAATGCAGCTAAATAATGATAAGGAGTTCCTAAATATTGGACTGCAAATTGTATTTCCAGATGCACTTTTTCCATCTACCTTGATATGCCAAAATGAGGTTTTATTCTATTTTTAGCTAGTTCCAACACTCCCATTGTCTTGTTTACCAGATTTCTCTGACTACGTCTATCAAACTTAAGTTACTTTCTTTTTGGCAGGCTAATCTTTTGACCAGGGGACACTTCACACTTTATGCTTTGACAATCTCAGGGCTTGCTTTCCTCATTAAGCTAAAAGATATTTCTGCATATATATCTAGTTCTGTTTTGTCATCTAGTGAGGTTCTTGAGTATAATACCCTAATGCATCCTCATCATGGAGCAATAACAGTTGCTACGGCAACACCAGGCTGTATAGTAGTTGGTAGAAATGATGGATCTGTCAGCTGTTTCCAAATTGGCACGATTGAACCTAGTGCTCCAGGTTAAACGTGATTGTCATTCTACTATTTATTTATGTGTTTTATGAGTAACATATGGTCCTTGCTAGGATTAGATTTTATACTTTTATAGCTTGGACTTCATGTTTTGTCTTCATAGTATTCCTACTTTTACACATCTTTTATGCTTTTTTCAATAGCAATGATTGAACCTAGTATCATTTTGCTTGGGCTTCAAACATTTCTTCATAGTTTTAGTGTAATGACCTATTGAAAAGAGAGGGTTCATGTATCATTACTGGCTCTTTCAAGTCATAGGCACATTGCTATTGTTGATTTTCTATGTCTTGATTCTCAACATTTGGAGTTTGAGGAATACATTTCATAATAGCATTAAAGATTTGAGTGTCAACAATACATTGCTATTGTTGAGTTTTTATGCCATAATAATCCATCAATACCTTTTCCCTATGACAGGTTTTGTATTTGAGCTCCGTGATGATGCTGGGTTTGGCCGCTTATGGGGCATAATGTCAAGGTAATTGGTTATTGTAGTTCTATTATGGAGTTCTAGTATGGCTAGTAAGTCACACTTTTGTTAATCGAAGCTAAAAACCTGATAGCTATGTCTTGTTTCTTACAGATCTTACCTCGCCATAAATGTTCTTTGCATTTTTTGCTCTGAATTGTTGGCATAATTCTAATAGATAGATTCTTACATATCAATTCCATAATTGTCTTTAATGTTCTAAGGTGGGTTATGTACCGTTCCTCACATAACAATCCCTTGGTTCTAGAATTTAATCAACCAATATTCAACACAACAACACCATCCAAGCCTTAGTCCCGAAAGATTTTGGGGCCGGCTAACTTGAATCCATACATGATATCAGAGGTAAAAAGAAAAGAAAGATAAAAGATAAGGTAAGATAAATATAAGATAAAGATAAAGATGATAAGATAAAAAGCATAGAAAGAATACAGGCGATTAGTATTGGTTTTTTTTATGTTCTTTTCCTCAAAAGTATCCCATGATTCTAGAATTTAGGCGATCAATATCCATTACTAGTTGTTTTGCTGCTATGTTTGCTTGAAGGCTTTGCAGATGCTTCAGCTAGCCATATTCATAACATATTATTATAATTATTAGAGAAATGGGTCAAATAGATCCTTCTACTATTTCAAATCCGTCATCTAAGCCCTTGTACTAAAAAAGTATCATATAAGTATCCCTACTTTGAAAACACAGTCACTCAAGTCATTTTGACCTGCTATATCAAGTTGTTTTTAAAAAATAAATTAGGAAAGTTAATAAATCTTATAAAAAATCATATGAACTTGAAAAAATAATGTATTAATAATATATAAAATTGTTAAAATGAAGAAAAAAAGATAACTAAATTAAAAAATTTAAAAAAATAAAAATAAATATCAGAATAATGAAAAAAAGTGAATAAGTAAAATACATTAAATTATGATCTGAAAACTTTTAAAATGATGTAGAATATAAAATAATTCCAAAAAATGCCAAAATATTGAGTTTCACATTTTTAAATTGTTCAGATATTTTGTTTATATTTATATTTATTCGAATTTTAACTATTTTTTAGAGTGTTTTAATACTACCCCCCGTCGCGAAAAGTTTCGCCATATTGACTTTTCTTGGTTAATGATGGCAAGATTCGGACAATGATTTTAATTATTATATTTATATATAATTTATAAATTTTATACTTTTATGAAAATATTTTTAATAAGGAAAATTTTCATATATTTTTCATATTCTAAATTATTTCGTATTAAAAAATATCATTGGTCAAAGTTGATTGTCATTGACCAAGAAATGTCAATTTGGCGAACCTTTTCGGGACGGAGGGAGTATATAAAACCTGCTATTACAAGTCAAAGACCGGTTATATGGCTAGATTGAATGATTTTTAAAAGTAAACGTACTTCAATGATGCTTTTTTTAGTATAGGGGCCTAAGTGATGATCTGGAAATAAGAGAAGGGTCTATTTGACCCATTTCTCTAATTATTATAGTGGTACTCATTGTAGTAAAGATTCTCTACCTAGGCTATAGAATGCCCTTTGGTGCTTAAATTGTTTCCCGCTGGGCCGCTTAAGCCCTGCACAGTTTTACTAAGGCTCCCCTTAATATTGCTCATTTTCTGTCTAGTCACCTGGTTAGGCGACACTCTAACGTGTTGGTTATGCCTAGCACTTTGTTAAACATTGTTTTTGCTTTTTATGATTGTTTGGGGTATTTACTTATTTATTCAATTCTTCTCTAAGTGCTTCACAATATTTATAGGTATTTTATTTTGTTTTTGGGTGTTTGAAAATTGAAATGGTTCATGTATTTTGGAGTGAAGACAGTTTCTTTTAGAAATTTAAGAAGCCAGTGAAGAGGTTTTCATTTAGGGGAGCCTATTTATAATCCTGCTTCTTAGATAATTTCCTAGAGATAATGATTATGTTTAATTGGACTAATTTAAGTAGTATGGAGCCATGGAGGAAATTTACAACTTGGAAAGATCAAGGACAAACATTTCGGATAAAAACTAAACGGAGAACATTGTGGACACACACACACATATGAGCACAAGAATGGAACAAGTACATTTCCAAGACTACAAATGACTGATGTGATCTTACCAACACTAATGCATTGTGTCCCATTAAAACTATGAAAATATTGTACAAATGACCCTCATCACTACTATGTATAAAACAAATTTGTGATGCTGAGCCCAGTAAATTCAGGGCTAGCTATTTAAAGGGTTGTTCACACACACACACACACTAGAAAACATGAAACCAAATCTGAGGCCCGACATGGTGTTTCACATTGGCATCTTGACATCTTGTAGACATGCTGGGATACATTAAGAAAACAACAAACTTTTTGCAGAATTATCTTTTAAGTGTACTCTTATAAGAACATTTGTTCAGCTCAATGGCCATGCAGTCATGCACATCCTTTTATCTTAACATAATTTGAAAATGTTTTTTAATAACGAATCACACTGGTAGAAATGTAGTTTATTATTATTATTGATTATTATTATTATTATTACTATTATTACTATTATTATTATTATTATTATTATTATTACCACCACCACCAGTACTATTACTATTACTATTACTATTACTATTACTATTACTATTACTATTACTATTACTATTACTATTACTATTACTATTACTATTACTATTACTATTACTATTACTATTACTATTACTATTACTATTACTATTACTATTACTATTACTATTACTATTACTATTACTATTACTATTACTATTACTATTACTATTACTATTACTATTACTATTACTATTACTATTACTATTACTATTACTATTACTATTACTATTACTATTACTATTACTATTACTATTACTATTACTATTACTATTACTATTACTATTACTATTACTATTACTATTACTATTACTATTACTATTACTATTACTATTACTATTACTATTACTATTACTATTACTATTACTATTACTATTACTATTACTATTACTATTACTATTACTATTACTATTACTATTACTATTACTATTACTATTACTATTACTATTACTATTACTATTACTATTACTATTACTATTACTATTACTATTACTATTACTATTACTATTACTATTACTATTACTATTACTATTACTATTACTATTACTATTACTATTACTATTACTATTACTATTACTATTACTATTACTATTACTATTACTATTACTATTACTATTACTATTACTATTACTATTACTATTACTATTACTATTACTATTACTATTACTATTACTATTACTATTACTATTACTATTACTATTACTATTACTATTACTATTACTATTACTATTACTATTACTATTACTATTACTATTACTATTACTATTACTATTACTATTACTATTACTATTACTATTACTATTACTATTACTATTACTATTACTATTACTATTACTATTACTATTACTATTACTATTACTATTACTATTACTATTTACTATTTACTATTTACTATTTACTATTTACTATTTACTATTTACTATTTACTATTTACTATTTACTATTTACTATTACTATTACTATTACTATTACTATTACTATTACTATTACTATTACTATTACTATTACTATTACTATTACTATTACTATTACTATTACTATTACTATGATTATTTTTGTTTTTGTGTACACTAGTCACTTAATACATATTTAATTATTAAAATACAGGCATTGAGTGCTTCTCCTTCTCTTGTATATGCATGGCAAGCTTTAAACCTTATTAAATCAATTCCTCCCCCGCTTAGCCTTTACTGTGGAAACAAATGTAGTCTTTCTGACGCATAAGCTCTGTATCCAATTCAAATTGCATGTGCTGTATGATTTGCTTAGTCAACAATTGTTTCACAATTCAGGAGCAGGACAGTTGCTGCAGTGCAGGATTTAGTTATATCAGAGCTGTATCAGAAAAAAATTCTTTTCGTGCTCCACTCTGATGGGATATTACGTGTGTGGTATCTTTCTAATCGCTCTAAAGTTTTGACGCACGCTATGACTGGTAAAACTTCCTGTTTTGCATCATTTTACATGATCATCCAAATGTTCTATGCAGTCATTACTGGTTCTGAGATCTCTATATTTCTGAAACCGATGCAACAGGGACACCATGTGTAAGATTATGGGTGGGAAAGGAGGATAGTAATGCTAATATAATTCCATTGGCTGTGTTACAGAAACGGCATTCGGTTAGTATTCAAAAGTCAAGATGTTTAAACTGGCATGTCTCATGCATTTTTAGTTAAGTAGACTGCTACTTGTTTGATTTGAACTACTGTGAACCTGTATTTCTTCTTTTCCATTATGTTCTCCTTTCTTACATATTTAAAATATATATGGGCCACTACAATTTATCAGTTGTAGCCATCTCAACAATTAAGTCTTTTGGGGAGTGGTTCACTATTTCACTACAAGTTATCAGTTGCAGCCATGTCAACAATAAGTGAGGGCATCTGACAGAAGAGATAAAGCTGCAAAAGTTATGCATGATGCAACGGCCTTTTTGCATAAGCCTGCACCTGGTTTTAGAGTCAAAAGAATGATGACCGTTTTTGAGAAATTCCAGATTATTGAGCTTTGAGCTTTTTTAGAATCTTAGCTATCTAGAATGTTGTGTTTATCACAGACTCACAGAGTACATGGTTTCTAGAATCTTAAGCTAGGCGATTGTGTTGTTTAATAGTGTTCTTTTCATCTGATTCTTTTATCATATTGAATTTTGATCACGATGATTTTTCTTGGTATCAAAGACGTATTCTGGAATTGACTTTAATTTTCATGCTCTTCTGGGTTTTGTTTTGTCAAGGAAGTTGAAATGGAGACTCTCTCTATATATAGCCTTTATTTAAGTGTTGCAGATAGGATTGATTTGTCACTAGAGCCCTCAACTCAAAGTATCCCTTTGGAGAAGGTATTTGTAAGCTACATGCTCTTTTGCCCATTTTGAATATATATTAGAGCCTGCTTGATAGTCATTTGATTCAATTATTTGGGTCACCTCCAGGGCGATCTTATCGATCTGAGATTTAGCAAAGACCAAGTATGGATGCTCATGGAAGATGGATTGGTAATGCAAAAGTTATTTAATGGAAATATTGAAGAGTAAGTTTTTCATCCTCATTGTGGTGCACAAATACATTACCAGTTCAATGTTCCTGTTTCTTCTTTCTCTTTTCCATTTCTAGAATGTCGAAGAGTAATTTTGTTAAGAATATGTAATATTAAGTTCATGTGGTACTTAATTACTAATACTGAAGTTTTGAATGTTTATAGGGGATTAGCTCATTGCTATTCTTTACAGGAAGCATTTGTTGCAGATCAGCTATTTCAAAACTTCGAAAAAGCGACAGATGATTTACTTTGGCTTTCTGATGCTGTGTTGTCATCTTCAAAGGTGGTATTGACATTCTCTTTATTTTGAGTGTACTACCTATGTGTCCCTACTTGGTGTGCGCACTGCATTATCAGCCTTCTCACCCTCACCTACTTAGGTGATTCTAGTTAAAACTATTCTATCCTGCAAACAAATTGTTCGATACAGATGCTAGGATGAATGCATGATGTGCGTCTTGGCTTCATATTAATGTCCATCCTGTATGCAAGGCTTAAATGTGCAGTTAAAACTACAATAGTCTTTGGCAGCGCTTAGCTGTGTAATTTGATTATGTCACGTAACTGATTACTGTAATGCCTGTGTATTTTTTCTATATTCTTAATGTCTCTTAACTTGTATTTTCTATTTGATTTGCAGGATGAAGTTGCTTCTTTTGTTTCTCATATCTTCTTACGTAGGTTGCTTCTTCCCGGCGTTCATCATAAAACCATTCTAAGAGCAACCTTACAAGAATATAACAAGCATTTCACTGATTCTGAGTTTCATTCCTTGGAAATCAATGGCTTAAAGAATGAAATCCTGTCACTTATTGAGCATGAGGTTTTATTCTTATTTATGCATATTAATTTTTACAATTTTCCTTAAATGGTTTTATTTCCATTTTGTTTTTCATGATAAAGAGAGAAAAGGTGTAATGAATCCCTCAAGCTAACTGTACTGTTTTTGTGCTAGGGTGGTGCTGAAAGCCCAGTTTCAATAGTTCACAGCTGGAAATCCTTCTGTACCCGCTATGTCCATAATTGGTGCCAATACAATGCATCTTGTGGTTTGGTTGTTGATTCATCTACTGGAGTGGTTGCCTTAATTCGGAAAAGTACAATATCTTTATGCCGCAGTCTGAATGACATTGAGCTTCTCGTTTATGGTATCTTGTTAACAACATCAGTTAGTACTTCTCTATACAACCTTATTTAACTTGTGTTCTGGCTGTCTATGTCGTGTATGCTAAGTGTTCTATATATTATATGTTCTTAGGATCTGATTTGAAATTCTGTGCTGATGGGCTCGAAAGTGATATTCTCTTTGAGGTTCTGCACTGCAGTAGTAATCTCAGTAAAAAATTTGGCCGAGCTTCTTCAGCAATATATTATGAGTCACTCCTTCGAACACCAACTTTGTCACCAGAAGATGTCAGTGTTCGCTTGCTTAAGACTTTAGATTCTGGACATAACCAATCAACAACACACCTCTACTCGTACCTTGGAGCTGATGTGGCTCGGGATAAGGAAATAATGAGTCACAGAAATATAAGGAAGTTTTGTGTGAATATGTTTTTGTCCCTACACCATTTGTACAAAAGAGCTATCACATGGGGGAAAGTGTTGGATGTGATTGAGTGTTACTTGAAGCATCTTGTGCCTCTTAAAGTTGAACAGAGTTTTGATTCTCAAGCAATCTTCAATATCAGTACTGCTGTAACAGTGCAAGCTACTTCTCAAGTTGCTAAAGTGATGTTTGAATCTACATTAGATCTATATTTGCTTTTAAGCTATATGGTTAGCACAAGTGGGAAGGTTAGTTTTTGTTTTCTATTCAAATGTATTTGGTAACTTACTAACTTGTGGTACTCACCTTGACATTTTCTTTATTTATTAGAAAAACATGTTTTAAAAACGAAGCCCCCATCCAAACAAAAAAAATTCTTGTATTATTGTGCTCTTCCCACCCGCGACATGAAAACGACAACCCAACTTATCCATGAAGATCATTAATTTCTACCCACAAAATAGCTGGAAATGAAACAAAGAAACTCCTGCATATGACATCATCATGAATAGTTCTGCCTCTAGGTAATTTCTTTCCAGTATCACTTTTGCGTGTGTACATAAGTACGTTGCAGTTTCCAAAGATTGAAGATATTAGCATTGTGATGCTTCTCATTGCCATACAGTTGGCCATAGTTAATCAAACTCTGGTTTGCATATGGAAATATTTTTGTATTAATCTATATCTTTGAATGAAAATTCACGTTGTTGTTATAGTTGATAATGATGAATATATTTCTTTGTACTGTCAAAAACTAAATTACATGCTACAAATTGCTTGGTTATTCATCATTTAATGTAGAAAGCAGAAACGTGAAAGTGTTTTCACTTCATGCAGATCCACCTGTCCCAAAATGATATTTCTAGAGTTACAATTGAGCTAGTTCCTTTGATCCTAGAGACGCTAACAGAATGGCATATCATACACTACCTTGCAACCACACCATCTGAATCTCCTGTCATTGAAGATTTTAGCTCTCAGCTTTCATCCCTACATTTGGGTATGGTTCCTATAACCTTTTCCTTAGAAAGTTACTTTTCACTGTTGCTTTGCTATAATGTGTTACTGGAATGAATGGCTATTTAAGTATAATCCACTCCAACTACCTTTTTTTTTTAATATTTGTGAGCCTTTATAGCTCTCACTCGGCTGTAAAACCTTCGTAATCAAAATTGAAAAAAATATGAAATCTGCAGCTTCCACATCCCATGTTTATCCTCATGGATGCAGTGTATGAAGAAAAGAGAGAAAAAACTATCTATTTTGGAAACACTAATAACTTGTTTGGTTACTTCAATAATTGTGTCTGCATTTCACTTCTCAATTCAAGAAATGTTGTTTGATTAAGACGATATGCCTTCTACACTATAATAATCATAACTCTTTTGTTAGTTGAGGTTCCCATTACTTTTGTAGCTACAAAAAACCACTTTGAACTCCTAAAAAGAGAACAAAAGAATAGGAATATAAAGCTTTGTTCTGATATCCTTATCTTCTATGTTGGCTCAACATAGAAGTGTTGTTGGTGAATGGAACTCATTGTGTTCTCTCTATGGGCAGATAACAATGAGCGGAGATCATGGAATGAGAAACTTGGAAAATCAGATTTCACCCTTGCTTTTCTCCTGTTGCTTAGTATCCGATGCTCTTCAGATACCCAGAGTGACCTCTCTTTTAGATCCCTTCCTGATCCTACATGCATAAAAAATTCCGTACAGCATTTTTCTAGCTGGATAATTTGGGGAATGATAGGTGAAGGGTCTTCAGGTTTTTTTAGCCATTCAGTTGAGCTTGCTCTTATCTTGCTTAGACACGGCCAGTATGACGCTGTAGAGGTTCGTAGCATCTTTACATTTAATGCAAATTGATATATTCTTCAAGATGATTGCAGAATCTAAATCCTATTTCATCCAGTACATTCTCAATTTGGTGGATTCATATTTGAGGAAGGAGAAGTTTTCTGGAAGTCTTCAGAGTGTGTGTGGAGAGTGGTCCAACATCCTCCATCTTCTGGGCTGCTCTCTTCTTGCACAGGTACAATGTGGCTTGCATGGAATGTTGAAAGAGAGGAAAATTTGTGAAGCAGTACGTTGCTTTTTTAGGTAATCATCTTGTTCAACCACCTAGCACATATTATTAGTAGTTGCCATTATCATCATCACCACCACCGTCGTTGTCATCATCATCACCACCACCACCACCGTCATCATCATCATCATCATCATAATCATCATCTTCTTCTTCTTCTTCTGGTATGATCTACACTATCAAAACACTTAGGCACTGACAGATGTGGTGAAGAACAGTCCCACGAGCCTAGAGGTAGTATTCTGATGAGAATGATATTTAAGATCATTTTACTGCCAGAGCTAAAGGAGTATTCTGTATACCAGCAGTTTGGTGTTGGCACTCTTAATATAGCTTTGTGTATCAAGTAGCTTAATGTCATAGAGACTGGGATGTTCAATACTAGGTTTACGGAGTGACTTACACACTGTTTTGAGGGGTGGAGGGGAGGTACTTTGCTCCCTTGTGAGTGCCTCTCCCTTGTTTGGGTTAAGAAAAACAAGTACAGGAAGGGTGAGGGGAGGCACATGCATTTTAAAATGATGTAATGAAGATATCTGCCAGTTGATCATTTGAACTGTCACTAACAAATGAGGTACTGACTGATGAGGTCTCAGGAAGCAACCTTTTCATCATTTCATCATCATTTTCATTTACCCCAGTGCCGCAAAGGCTCCCACCTACGGTGGGGTAAGGAGGGGTCGGATGTACGCAGTCTTACCCCAATACTAAAGCACAGAGAGACTGTTTCCGGATGACCCATAGTGAAAATCGTGTCCAAAATTGCATGGACTGACTGCTGTTTCATAACAAAGAAGCGCAGACAGTTTAGTGAGCCATTTTGCTTTATTCCATCATATTCTCAAGCCAAAAAATAATGAATCTTTGGCTCCATTGCAAATGATGGAAAATCAGGAAGCAACCTTTTCACGTATAAAATTATAATGACAATCAACATGACTTTTTGCGTTCTTTCAATGAAAACTGGATTAGATACAATATGCAAAGCTGGCTGATGACAATCAACATGACTTTTTTGCAAATAAACTCTATAGGTCTCCATCATCATCATCATCATTATCATCATTACCCCAGTGCCGCAAAGGCTCCCACCTACAGTGGGGTAAGGGGAGTCGGATGTACGCAGTCTTACCCCTGTATTTAATAAACTTTATAAGTTTATAGGTCTATGATTACAAAATTTACTTTCGGTCCATGAAGATGTACGATTCATATTAGCTCACACCGCTTTCTTTAGTATAATCTATTACACATGGCATCATAAAGTCTCAATTCTAACCTTCAATATGATTATGTAAAAGTGCATTCTGTGGCTCTGCGGGGGAGCATGTAGAAAATCTTTTACTGTTTCTTTAATGCATTGCTCAATGTTATATTTAAATATTGATGTTGTAATCACATCTGAACTCAAAGGACTTTCTTGTACCACTCACTGTCTGATCTTTTGTTAACTATTTCCCCCGATTATGATGGATCCAAATGATAAACTGGTGCTAGTAAAATTACTCTCTCACAGGTGAGATGAGAACTAAGGTACTGACTATTTCAGTTCACAGACATGCTCACTTTTCCAACTATTGTATTCAGAGCTGCGTCAGCTGAAGGAGCATCTAAGTCCTTACAACGCTTGCCATGTGAAGCTGGATGGCTGCATCTCGGTGAGTATGTTTATTCATTGTCCTTACATTCTTACAATATCACATCTCACTTGAGAAGTTCCTTGAAATGTCAAATCATGATGTTACCTTACTGTAAATTTTCATCTAGCTCGCAGTGCCTCGACTCCTTCATTCAAGCTTCACTACTATCAATGGGCAATGCAGATTTTTGAGCAATATAGTATGAGTCAGGCTGCTTGTCAATTTGCACTAGCTGCCCTTGAACTAGTGGATGAATCTTTTGGTTCTTGTAATGGTGATTTGAGGGTTGATGCTGTTAATGAATCACCATCTGCTATTAAGGGACAGCTTTGGGCAAATGTGTTCAAGTTTACACTAGATCTCAGCTTGTATTATGATGCATACTGTGCAATAATCTCAAATCCAGACGAAGAAAGCAAAACCATATGTTTACGGCGTTTTATTATTGTTCTATATGAGCGCGATGCTATAAAGGTTCTGATTCAGTTCTTTCCTCTGACTCTCGCATAGAATTTAATGTGTCCTCCATCTATCTATTTTTCCTCTCTCTAAAAATATTATAATGGGTATGAGTTAGGATGTTTTTTACTTGGACTGAGATTTGCCGGTTTGGTCTGAACTGGTTTGGTAAATGTCTGGGCTCAGTGTATTTTATAACTATAGAAGTCTGGTCTGGTCTGTTTAAGTTTGGTTTAGTCTAGGACTGATAACAGTCCAAGTAAAAACATCCTAAGTCAGGGCAGCAGATATATGCAAGTATCAGTGTCACAGTGTGGTATTTTATTCTTGCTGTTGATGATGGCTCCATAATTTCCAATGGAGCCAAAGACTTGCTATTTTTTTGCTTGGGAATATCGTGGAATAAAGCAAAATGACTCACTAAACTGTCTGCGCTTCTTTGTCATGAAGCAGCAGTCAATCCATGCAATTTTCGACACGATTTTCAGGAAACATTTTCACAGTGCCTTTGCGGCACTGAGTTAATGTTTTTGTTGTTGTTGATGATGATGACTGATGAGTAATATTATAGTGTCACTATAAGATCTTTAAAAAGTTTAATTGTCATTCTTAAAAAACGTAGGAATACGTATTACATTAACACTATTCATTTGGTCTGTTAAATGGGTAGGAACACTGGTGCTTATTATTATTCTTCATAATAACACTTCAAATCTTCCCAATCATTTATGCTTCTTTAACGCATAAGTTTTTTTAACAGTCATTTAAAGATATACATTAACATGATGCATCTAAAGATCCTCCTTGTCATTTCCACAAGCCAAAATAAAATTTGAAAAACAATGTGAAAGAGATTATTGAAATTGGGTGTATATTAAATGTGAGTCACAAGATCTGCTCTAAAATACTGGCCGAGTAATTGATGTCCATGCTTTACATTTACTTTCATTCCAGATTCTTTGTGACGGTCAACTACCTTTTATTGGCTTAACAGAGAAGGTGGAAAGAGAGCTTGCTTGGAAGGTTTGTGACGTACATGTAAAAACTTAAAAAGGATTGGATTCTTTAATCTCAAGTCAGAATGATACAATCTTCCTACTTCTGATCTGCAGGCTGAGCGTTCAGATGTTTCCACCAAACCAAACCCATTTAGATTGCTTTATGCATTTGCGATGCAGAGACATAATTGGCACAAAGCAGCAAGTTATATTTACTTGTATTCTTCTCAATTGAGAACTGCGGCAGACATCAAAGATCACCAGCATCGTTCCCTGCTCCTACAGGAAAGACTGAATGGACTCTCTGCTGCTATTAATGCTCTGCAACTTGTTCATCCTGCCAATGCTTGGATTGACGGTCCGCTTGATGACAGTTATCCTTGTAAAGATCACATCCCATGCAAAAAGGCCAGGATATCTCTGGAAAGTTGTATGTTAAAGCTTCAATTTTTAAGTTAGTTTTATTCATTGTTCTAAAAATCGCCCTAGCCGCTTAGGCGGTGGACAGGCGTCCCGATATCGATGCAATCGCATGGAAAAACCGTCCGAGCGCCTAGGCGGTGCCTAGGCACCCCTAAGTGAAATTTTCCCAGGTCCAACTTATTTTCTCCGCTTTGTCCCAAAAATATTGTTTGATCAATAATTATTCAATTCATATCAAATTTATTTTAATATTCTTACAATAAAAATAAGTTCTAAAATTTGCTATTAACTGTTTTATAATTTATAATTTTACTACAATATAATGTTCATAACTCCATGAGCTATTTCTACTGTCAATATATTATAGTCATTAATAAATGACACTCCATATGTCCCTTAGAACCTTGCCAACATTCCTTTTTTGGTTGTCTCACCAACCTTGCCACTTTCCCTTTTAAATGAAGAATTTGTGGTTCCGGTTAATTCTCTCTTTGCACAAACCTCAACCACACCGTTTTTACCTTATTATTGTATGTGCCAATAAACTTTGTCAAAGTTATAAGGGTCAGAGTGAGTATTAAAACTCATAGGAAACCAAAATAAAACATAAAATAAAGAAGGAAACCTAGGCGTCCTAGGCGGCGCCTATGTGGGCTAGGTGCTAGCCTTTTAGAACACTGGTTTTATTACAACATTTATTATGCAATTTTTTTTTCTGATTGAGTACAATTAATCTATTCTCATATTGAGCTTGTTGTCTTATGCATTGTCTGTTGATTTTTCATCACCCCATCCCCAAACCTAAGCTTCAGGTGATGGTTCTCAAACACAAAGGAGAAGGTCCTACATTGATGTTCAGAAGCTTGAGAATGAGTTCATTTTAACATCAGCTGAGTATTTGCTCTCACTGGCAAATATTAAATGGACTTTTACAGGTATGTACAACAACAACAAAATGTAAATACTTTTACAGGTATTTACTGTTTAAAAAATTCAATGCCTAGTGATCTAATTATCCACTAGTACTTTTGCAATTAAATTCAAAGGTAGAGATGACATTAAATTTTAGAAAGGCATCTACGTTGTTGGTTACTCTTTAGCAGCACATTATGTGCTTTTTTCAAAATCTTATTTGCATGTGATTAACATAATTGCACAGATTAAAAAGAGCATATATTAGTGATAAAGGTCTTAAAGTCATCTGCTTTAGTGTCTAATATTTGATAAGAGTATTTGTGTATCTGTATCACTTGATGAAGGCTTACTTACCGTTTCTTATTGTTTTACTTCAGGAACTGAGAAACCCCCACCAGATTTAGTTGACCTGTTAGTCGAGTCAAATCTGTATGATATGGTTTTTACAGTAATTATAAAATTTTGGAAGGGCTCAGCTATGAAGAGGTATAATGTCATTTTCTAGTTTTCTTGCTAAGAGTGCCATAGTAGTTGCACTTTTACATGTGTCTCTTCAAATTTTATGTTATGCGTATTTCCAGGGAACTTGAAAAGGTGTTTGCCGCAATGGCAATAAAATGCTGCCCAAGCAGACTGCACGCATCTTCAACTGGGTGAGGATATGTTAATATCTCTCTATTCTATTTAATTAAAGAATTCATTTTCATTGGTTTTCTCACGAGAATTGTTAGAAAATCTCCTTCAACTTGTCAGGAATGATTATAGATTGCAGAACCTGCTTTTGATGACATCGCATGATGAGATCATTGCAAATGGTTCTCCTGATGTGGCTCCAATACCTCAACAGTCTAAGGGCAATAGCCAGTGGGAAACTCTTGAACTCTATGTTGTCAGTATATCAATTATTCTCTTTTCTCCTTTGCAATACTGTTTACCTCTCAATTTATGTGCGCTTACCTTTGCTCATAATTTGAAAATACTTATTGCATTGTTGAATGCACTGATCATAGTGGTTTTTGAAGTGAGGAGAACTGAACTGCGCATGCACTCATTGAGCCCCCCAAACAAAAGAAAATGTTATTCGCCAAAAAATGTATTCCTGGATGGCTTGTATGATGTTTATATTGTGCAGTGTTAATTAAGCAGAAGATGGCTCTCACTTTTAGATTCGAGAAAGTTGTAATTGTTAAGCTGCCCTTTTTCTCTGGTTTATGATGTTTAGGCTTCAGCAAGACTTTTGAAAACACATGTTTCAACACTGTAGCATCCAGTGCATTTGTATTCATACTCATTTTCGTTATGTTTATATCGTCTTGCAGGATAAATATAAAGGATATCATGGTAGATTACCTGCTGTGGTTGCAGAAACACTTCTTGCAACTGATCCTCAGATTGAGTTACCCCTTTGGTTGATTCAAAAGTTCAAGGTGAGTATTGTTTCCTTATTCCTTACTTAGGAAAACATCAAGCGATATGGTTGAGACCCCAACTGAAGTATTTAGGATGACCATTGATTATGATATTCTCCCTCTGTACCAACATACATGTCACAACTCCCAATGGTGTTGTACACAGCTATTTATGAAGCAAAAGGTATTTGGTCAACTTTCCAAGTTTTCCCTTTAAAAAGTTGGTAACCTTTTCAAAAGCTGTGCAAGTTGGTCAACATGTCAAACTATTGAGGGCAAAATAAAGAAACTTATAAAGTGGAATAGATGGAGGATATCCCGAAGGATATTCCAGAAAAATCAGCATCATATATTCACAACTATGATCAGTTGATCACTAACATGGGAGTCCTTATAAGGAGCCTAAGTAGGTACTTAATGTGCCTATACTACCAAATTTGGAAATAAGTCCATGGGGGTCCTATTAAGTTCACATGGAACCCACATCTCTCGTGTTCTATTTCTACGTTTGATAGTGTGGGCACATTAAAGTGACCACATGGCGTCATGGGTTCCTTAGAGAAAACTAGAACGTTACACATTTCTCAAATAAGATAACTTTTTTTTTTCAAATTATTACTCATCCCTCCTAAAACAAGAATTTAGTAGTCTTTATTGTTTTATCATACTATATTAATCATTTTTTTAACAAAACTCAGTTAATCATATTTGTGAACTATTATTAAGTTGGTCCATGTTGTATCCTATTATGGGTGATGTCTTTTTATTATATTAAGTTGACTTGATAACTGATCTTTTTCCGCATGTTGTAGAGTCCTCAACGAGAAAGTAGTTGGGGAATGGCTGGAAACGAGTCAAATCCAGCATCATTGTTTCAACTGTATGTCGATTATGGACGATTCAATGAAGCAACTAATCTACTTCTGGAGTACATTGAAAATTTTTCGTGCTTGGTAACTTGTCTCTCTCGTATAGCAAAGAGTTGTATATGCTATTTAATATTCCTGTGATTTCTGTAATTCTTGTTTTTCCAAAAAAAAAGTAGTTTTTCATGTATTTGCATAAGTGCATTACTTGATTTTTTAATCCCAAATCAACGCGTCGGGTTGTAAGTTCTTATACCCTGTAACGACTAACAAGTAACAACACTATGGCTGTCAAAACCACTGCTCTTTTCTCATCCTTTCAGGGATATAGTAAAGTAATGCTTGAGAGTTGGGTTTTGGACTTTGAATGCCTTAGTCTATACCATAATATGAAAGTATATAGAATGTCTCAGAAATTAAATAAATGATGATTAGCAGTTCGAAACGTTATATACTTGTGATTATGATCATCACCTATTATGTTAATATCTTTCAGTTTTGATTGAATCTCAAAATGTTTATCAAGATATAGCCAAAGCCTTTTCTCCAAAACCCTCTATCCAAATAAGGCCCTAAGGGACCATCGGGGGGGTAGCTGTGTAAAATAAAAAACATTACATAGTTAACATATAATAACTGCACATTAGAAATGTTTTTGACTAAAAACTTGTGAAAACTGCCACCCAGTTTTAGAATAATACTCCATATTTACAGTTTATATTATATTTATAGAAGTCATTTTAGTTAAAATGATATTAAAGTATGTTGTCTCTCCCAAAATGTGGCTATTCTTTTATATGCTTGTTTGGGGGCATTGGAGGCACATAATCATTATCTTGTGTGTTACCATGTGAAGAGACCAATGGACATCATTCGCCGTAAAAGACCATCAGCAGTGTGGTTCCCTTATACCCATATCGAGCGCTTGTGGTGCCAGCTGGAGCAGTCTATCAGATTGGATCACATGGTTGACCAAAGTGAAAAATTGAAGAAGATGCTCCATGGGGCTCTGCAGAACCATCTCAATCTTGTATGCTTTTTTTACAAAGAAATTTGGTATTTCCATCACATGTTCACCCTAATATTTGAATTTGCACCCACCTTATGATGTATCTTCTTTGAGCTTGCACCCCACAACACTCTAGAGTGAGGTGCGATGCAAATATTATGGTAAATCATGGGATGCGAAGTCTAACAAATGAGTCCCAAAGATTAAATAGAAATGACTCTCTAGGATGCTCTGGGGTGCATGGTCGAATAAAATAAGAAATTGGGTGCAAAATCAAATATTGGGGTGAAAGAGAGATACGAATATCAACTTATCGTTTGTTGTTTTCAAATATTTTCATATACAAGCTGCCCAGGTTCACTCCTAACTAAATGTATTATATATATATTTTCAGCTAAAAGTGGATTCAGATGACGTGCTGTTGTCTGCAGCCTAGAGGTGTATTACACTGCAACATGCTCTTCAACATACTCTTCAACAGCAGTCAAACGTGGTCAATATGTTTGTTTACAGATACCCCTCCAACCTATGCTGACCCACACCTTTCATAGAATATCTCCACCATTCCAGTATTCCACCATGTAACTTGTAAATGCAAGTTTTCATTCGAATAGTTATCAGTTCCCCGGCTTCCCCCACCTTAAAAGCACTATTGTGGGTTTTGAGGTGACTTCCGTTTGGACTGGTTGTGCCTAGAGTTTATATATGAATGTGATCAATTTTCATGTAACTTAAGTCTGTAGCTACTTTTAATAGTGATAAATACTTCGTGAAAATATTAAAAAATGACTAAATATTTTTAATCAAATTGTGAGGGTTCGAAATTGAATAATTTTGATAGTTTTTAATTAATTTATTTTCCTATTGAATATTTAAACTTGTTAAATATCTTGGGTGACACTATTCAAGTTTAGCCCAATGTAAAAGACCTAACTTAGAATAACTGCAATTATTATCTAACTAATATTTGATATAAATTCCCAAATACACCTGTGCACACATTATACAAATTGCCAAATTGGTCTCCTCTCAACTATATTTGATACGGGTATAAATTTCCAATTTCCAAAGGAAAAGCTGTCAAATGTCAAAAAAGTCTTTCTACTATATCTGAAAAGTCAATTGAGTTTTCGTACTATAAAATCACTTAATTAAGTCCTCCAACTATAAAAAATGTTCAACTTTATGTTTTGGCCGGTTGATGACAAGTATTCCCGATAATAGTTGACATGGTTGTATTGGTTCAGTTTCATTTCTTCCTTTCTTTCTCCCAGTTCAGTTTCTTCTTGGTAGTGGTGGACCTGGTTTGGGCCGCCTGGCCCGAGACCGGTCTGGCCCGTTACTGTGCGGGCCTGGAACCGGCCCGGTTCTTAGGTCCGGGTCTGGTTCGGGGACCGAACCAGTGGGAGTGGCTGGTCCGGGCTCGGGGCTGGTTTTTGGCGGCCCGGGCCTAACGGTCAACTTTTAATTTTTTTTTTCCATTTAATTTTGAAACCCCTTTTGGGGTGTTGACCCACTTCCCAAACGGCTATATAGCCGTTGGGAGCCTACCGGGGGGGGGGGTTAAAAAAAACCTATAAATACTCCTAATTTTAAACATTTTTTCACACCTCTTCTCCAACTCTTCCTAAATCCTACTCTCTACTCTCTAGTCTCTACTCATCTCCATATTCATTTTCTCAAATTCTCTTATTCTCCATTATATTTTATTTTACTATTTAATACTTATACAATTATTATATCTACTTATATATTAATTATCTACTTATAAATACATATACTATATTACTTATATTTCTTATCTACTTAATCTCTACTTATATCTCTTAATACATACATACATACTACATCTACTTAATATATAATTTATATATTAAAGTATTAAATATACTTTATAAACTATTAGTATATACTTAATAAATAATAATATCTACTTCTCTATGTATATTTCATATATACTTATTTTCTTATTCTCCAATCTCCAATTCTCCATTATACTCTAATATTTAATTCTTATACAATTATTATATCCACTTAATACATACATTCTACATCTACTTAATATATAGTTTATATATTAAAGTATAAAATATAAGTGTATTACTCATCTTATAGTAGTATACTGATATATTATATACTATAAACATTATATTATATATTAGTTACACTTTAATTAATATCACTTAAAATAATTCTATTACTCATTTACTCCCATTAATTACTATACACATTCATACATTTGTCTTATTACTTACATTTTTTATTAACATTACTTGATTAGTTAATTAGTATTCCCACTAATTGTTACATTTTTCATTATACTAGTTAATTAGTTAATTAGTATTCTTGTTACATTTTTCATTATACTAGTTAATTAGTATTCTTGTTACATTTTTCATTATACTAGTTAATTAGTTAATTAGTATTCCCATTAATTACTAAAACAACTCTACTTCAAAAAACTAGTTAATTGTCATTATAGTTAAAGTCACATTATAATAGTTTCAATTTATATTTGAACGAAAAAATAGTAGTTCAATCATTTAATTAAAGTACTTAACATTTTATTTAAGTACTTTTTACTAAATTAAAGTACTTGAAAAGTTGCTATAATTTTAATTTTAGAGTCACACATTAATTCTAGTTTGCACTAAATTAGTTTGAAGTATTAATTAAAATAGTTTTAATTAGTTGCATTACTTTTGTATTTATTATTATATTTGTTGCCAATTAATATTTGTTACATTTTTAAGATGGAAGGTGGTAGATATTCGGTTGATTTGGGTAACCTCGAGCGTAATCGAAGGAATGAGATTGGGAGGAAGAAATCCCGCAAAGGTTCAGATATTAGGGGGAGAACACCACCTGGAGCACTGGGTGCATCGAGCCTATATCCCACAAATCATCTTCATCTAAAAGAAGTAGAATTTGGTGGGTTTCGTGGTTTCGAGAATGAGATTTCTTTGGCATTGTATATCCTGAAAAGTGCCTCGGCTCTTGAGAGATTGGTATTAAGAAGGGATTATGGGTGGCCTACTGCAACATTTAATAAGAGCAAAGGTTACGAAGAGTTTAGTTGGTCGCCAGATGCACAATATACTACAAAATTTGATAAGATCACATCACAAGTGATCCATCGAAAATTGCAAGGGCAGGCTGCTTCTCCAATAGTGCAAGTGATCATCATTTAGTTTGTCTACTTTTGTGCTTGATTTTCGTGTTCTAACTTGTCTAGTTTGAACTGGTTTTAGTGTGGTATGAGTTATTATTATGTGATTATTTTTAGTAATAGGGTAATATATGGTATTCATATTGTAGATATTAAAATACTACGAAGCACGTAAACTCTCTGCACAGTGGTGGACCTTGAAAGTGAATATGGGGGGCTGTTACCAAAATTATTAATATAGTTAATTATGGTATAATTATAGTAAACTCTGAATATAGGTAATGTATGGAGTACTGTACTGCACAATTACTTTTTTTGAATGTAATATATGATTCAGCATTACAAAACGGGCTTTACATTCCTTTGATTCAATACTTCTACAGTATTTTTTGTGCATTTTAAAGCTAATCAATTTTAAAGGATATTTAGGAAAACGTACGAAATAATGACATACTCTGTATAAAGTAATTATTTCAGTAATTTTATGTTGTTTAAATTTATATTACAATTATTTTAATGTTGTTGACATTTTTGGAATTTAAAAGATAAGGTCTCTTTTTTGTCCACATCTCTTTTTTTAGTAATATTTTAGACATAACCCCTTTTAATTATGAATTAGTTTAAATATTATAGGCAAATAGTTAACTTTAGTATTGAGCCTTATTTAGATAGAATAGATTTCTCGGCTTATAATGATAAATGAGTCCCGGTAATTTTACGGGCGGACGTCTCCCTCTCTGTAGGGTTTGGTTTATCCCGCCGTTCGCGTGCGGGTTCTCCCTCTCTGTAGGGCTTGGACATCAAGATCGAAGGAGGACGATTGCAGATGGAGATGGCTGGCGTCGGTAAGCAGGGGATTGGCGATCATTTTGACACAGATGAGGAGAGCCGAACAGTGCAGGGTACGGACAACGTGGAGAAACTGATCGGCCTCTCCCTGTTAGGGTTTAGAGCTTTTCCGAATCGCCTTTTTCGGCAATGTGAGGTTATGACGATGGGCAAACTTACCATAATCCGAATGTCTCATTACTCTTTGATTAGACACAGAAACGATCACCCCAACTAGAGCGGATTGAGTCGCTAACCATATGAGAGAATTGAAGATTATCTTGGCTCTTGAAGCCATCTTACTTCTTAGCAAAAATACCTACCCGCCTCATAAGAATAACACTCCCAAACAACTAAGAGTCCAATATAAAAACAAATTGGAAATAACAATATTAAAATGCAAATTAAACGAGTTTGTCACTGCTTATCAAGCTCCATTGTTCTTAATCCGTCCTAACTGAGGCCTTCCACAAACAGCCAAAGTTTCAACTTGTGCATTCCATGATGATGGTTCAGGAGGAGGTCGGACGAACATGAACGCTATGAAGCCTTTGTCAATCAAGGCTAACCAATAGCACTTCTTCAATTGCACTTCATTCTTTTCCATCTTCCTCCTCATCTCATAAGCTTGAGCCAACATATCTATCTCCTTTTGCCCTTGGAATGTTGCCCTCCACCATGGATGTCATCCTGTGAACAAGATTATGGTTAGCCTTTGAGATGAGACGCCTACGAGCCCTGCTAGATTCCAGATGAGCAAAGAAAGCTATGAACGAAACCTGCTCAACCTGTATAACTTTGGAACCTTCAAATAAAGTTCTCCTCTAATCCGTGTAGCGGTTTGGATGTGCCTTGTTGCTAGCGTGCTCAAAGGAAATGCGTCGATTCTGTACTCGGTTGAGACCACAAACTGCCGGACAAAGCGGCAATAGCCACCGCCGGAAAAACAACTAAAACCCCAGAGAAATGTAGGTACCTGTTCGCTAGAGAGAGAATGGAGTATGTGTATTTAGTTTACAATTAGTTAATTTAGTATAATTTTTATATAGTAGTTACCTATAATACATAAACACATAATTATACTCAAGCTAGTTGGTAATAAAATTAATTTACAAAATCTTTACACACAAAAATGATACTCCTTTCATCCCTAAAATTTATTGATCTTTCTTTTTTGGTTGTTCAATTTTTTTCTCAGTTTCCCTTTAAATCAATTAATTTATGGTTTCAATTATTCCTTTCTTCTTTGTACAAACTTACAAACTTGGAGACCCTATTTATGGTTGTTAGGGTAAGGGAATTTGGATGAAATAGAATTTATTTCACATAATTTGGATGAAATAGAATTTATTTCACATAATCACAAATCCAAATTTAGCAAAAGGTCGTGCAACATGAATTCCGTCTAGGTTCATGCTAACCATGCGTCCATGCCTGATCTACACTTTATTATTGTTTGCATGTAGTGGCCAAATTTAATTATATACAATATCAAAATGATGATTCATTATTAAACGATATTTGGGTTAAATGTTTCATATGTGGCTGAGATAAATAATCGTTTAATGAGGCTTATTCAGTTATTGTATTGATATATATGTCATGTATTATAAACTTCACAGTTCACAAAACTAATGAGTGGATAAGATGTTTTATTTTTAAATTTAAGAATACAATCAATACCACACATCAAATTTTGCTCATTTCAAGTTAAGATGATGCTAATTTTTTCAGAAATTATAACTTTTTACTCGTAATGAGCTACAAGACCCGTAATATATCAAATCGAAGGTATTTCAGAACTCTACACTCTACACATCAAATAATAATAATA